GGTTTTTTTCTGTTTTAAAGGGAAAGATGAATGTTATTTTTTGTAACTCCCAAATACTCTGATTATTCACCATTTCAGGAGAATTAGTAAACTCCTTTGCCTCTCTGTAGGGTCTTTAAATAGAATCACAGAATATCCTGAGTTGGAAGAGACCCACAAGCATCACCAAGCACAACTCTAAAGTGAATGGCCCATATGGGGATAAAACATGCAACCTTGTCATTATCAGTGCCATGCTCTGACCCCCTGAGCTGATCTCAGGGTCCTAAAGATGCATTTGTCCTGCCATTTCTGCTATGCTCCACTTGAAATTATGTAGCTGTTTCACACCTTTCCTAGAAACTACAGATCTAGTTGATAAAGCCTGGGTGTGCTTCCCTAGGAGTGAGAGAGTACTCAGAAAAGAGTAGATAGCTTGATTTTCTTTCCAAATCCAGTGCTTCTCCAAGTCCCTCAATTCCATGGCACAGAAGAAATAGTTATGTTATGCATATTTGGAAAAAAAAAACAAAACACCAGAAAACAAACAAATAAACAGTGTGGCTATTAGAAACAATGTGTTCAAAGAAAGAAAAAAATGTCTTCTTAAGGACTTGATCCCTTCACATCTTCCAGGGGACATTAGATAAAGAGAGAAAGAAAGTGCAGAAAGAACAACTTTCAAGGAGAGATGAAGCAGTACTGGGATGTGTTGTCATAGACAATGAAGGAAAAGGAAGCAGTCCACTGATGCATATAACCAGTGAGGTAAGGGGAAGAGAGAACATGGATTTTAATAATTGACAACAGAAATAAATCCCATCAGGAAAAGTGTTTAATCAAAAAGAAAGAAAAAAAACTAATGAGACAGCGTTCAAAATTCTCCTACTACTACAGCCACTGCTATGCTAAAGGAAAAAAATCAAACTAGGGCAAGATCAGATGAGTGCCTGGCAGCAAAAATGAACCAGAAATATTCATTTCTGAATATTTATTTATGGTATATTTAATATACCAGAAATATTTCATTTCACATCTAAGGCACCTGATCTGGAGCAGCAATTCAAAATCAACTTCCTGGAGCAAAAAATTCACCTTAATGACTTGGTGACCTTTCTACCTCTCTTCAGGGTGAGACAGTAACCCCTGACAAACACTGCCAAGCAGGGCTCTAACTCCAGCTGCAATGCCATGTTGTCCCAGGTGCCCTGTCAAAGGAGTCACACAAGCTGTACATTTTAACTGATTCCCAGCAGACATCAGACTCCTTTTCTTCAATCAATTTTAACATGGGAAGCAATCTTAGAGTGGGCTGAGGAAGCAAATGTTTCTACTACGGATATTTTCTAGCTTCCTTTTAGTGACTAATCTTCAGTTTGTCTCAACAAACACATCAAGTACTGGTAAATATTACCCTGAATTAAAAGAATAAACATGCACATCAAGTGGTGTGCTTTGCCTTTACTCTTGAGAGTAATGATTGTAAAGATGAGAGGAGGAAATGTTATTGCTCCTATGTTCATGAGTTGTAACATCTCTGACTAAACCTGAGACCTGGAAATACCCTGAATGAAAGCTGCTAGCCACTGATTTTACTGACATGTATTCCAAAGCTCTGCAACATAATACTTCTTTGGTACTTCTAGAAAAAAGGTCTCTCCTTAGCACAGATGTCATAAATATTAACTGTATCCTGCCTGATTCATCTTCAAGCTAACTGCAGCTATGAAAGGAGGTGGAGTCACTGAGCTACCATGGTGTCTCAACAAAAGGCAGGATGGGCTTACCTCTCAAGCAGAAGCTCAAGGCACCAAGATAAAGGGAAAATGTAAAATCGCTCTTGCACTCTTCTACCTTCTAGGATGCAATGCAGAGGTAAATTTAATGTAAAAAAAAAAAAACAAACCAAACAAACACCCCAAGTCAGTCAGGGCTGTCCTGACTGGGGCTACTGCATTAACTTTACCAGGTCTAACAACTCATTCTGAGCTCAGTGCACATTCCTCCCAATCACATAAACCTCTATCCATGAATTAATACAGTCATAGATGCTGTGCTGCAGTCATAGATGCTGTGCTGGTTCTGCATGGGAGGTTGGGAGGAGACATGTCAGGAGTCAGAGGCACAGGAAATATTCCTTTGTCTGTGCTGACAGGCTCTGACACCCAAGAGAACACTGAGTTTAGCCTGAAACCATGGTGACAGTTTCTAAAGTTGAGCAAAGAAACTAATAATGTGAGTGTGTAAGTTAGATAGAATTATCTTAAGTCACTGGGTGAAAAAGTTATCACTGGGTGAAAAAGTTAGATTTTAGAGTTTTACTTATATTAATAAGGGAATCCAAGATGGAGACTTTGGGGCATTGTCTCTTTCTTCTTGTTCTTCTTCCTTCTTCTTCTAAGAGTTTTTGGGTAATATTAGGGGACTGGATAAAAAAGTCCACATTGCAGCACGCAGGTGTCGGGTGAATGGGTCACTAAAAAAATAAGTTACTTGGAATTTTATTATTGGGTAAATAGACACATAAAAGGCCTTGGAGAGATTCTTCGTTAGCCATCTTGCACCTTTCTATCTTAGTGTATGTAGCTCCTTGTACTCTGTTTATATGTAATATAAATAAGGAAAGAATAAACAACTGAGCCCAAACACAAGAAAACAGTCTCTCTCTCTTGTCAATCCCCAGTCCTGGGGAAAAGAACCCAACCACCAGTGTCACTGCAACAGAGACACAGCTGGTGGGACAGGTGACCTAAACCAAGTTAGAAAAGCTAAAAATGGTTCAGAGCATGCTTTCAATGTATCTTACACCACATACTATTTAGAATTTGCTCTCTGTCAACATAAACAATAAACTGGAATATATCTGCTACAAAGTGGTGAACAAATATTCTTCCATTGATTACAATGTTTGCCTTTTCCTTCTGAATCTGCCAAGTTTTCAGGGGCAAACCTTTTGCCAGCTAATCATTTCTGGAGTTGTTGGGATTTGACTTTTTTTTTTTTTTTTTATAAATACCAACGAGCACATCTGTCTCTATGGGACTTTTTTATTGTACTACAAAAAAATATTGTGGTTTCCTATGTGACTTGCAAAATAAAGTTTCCAAGAAGAGAAAACAAAGACAAAATTCATCTTCAAAATTAATCCCCCTGATAAAAGGATATGCCATCTAGTCTTGTGCTACATTGAAGTAGCCAGCTAACCATCAACCATGATAACCAAAACCTATCCCCCACACTCACTTTTACACAAGGACACAAAATAATCATACTAAATGTGGTTGTTAGAAAGAAAGTATCAGGTAAATCAATGGTGACTTACAGTCATCTGTCTACACTTAAGAGTTATTAGGAGTCTCATTTAGGGGAGAAATAGGAAAACCCTTATCTTGAATACTGTGGCAATCCTCCAAAAAGAACTATGAAAAAAAGGAGCCAGAAATCATAACTGCACGTTCACAGAAGAAAAAAAAAACCAAAACAACCACCAGCACAAATTGCAAATCGGTTTACTTTTAAGTAGTACTGCAAGTCCAAGTCATTGGTTTGTTTTTTTTATTTCAAAGCATATGAAATAAGGAAGCTGAAAAAATCTGCCTCAGTTTCAGCATCTTTTCCTCATATTTTTCCTCTTCTACATGGAAAATAAGAAGGTTCTGTTTTAAGACACAAATTTTAAAAAGGAAGGAAGGAAATTAATTTTAAATACTTTTTTGAGAAAAGTAAGTCTAAACACAATGTAAAAATTTGACAGTTATGATTATCTGAATTCTCTAAGTCCCTAAATTTATTTTTTAAAGGTTCCAGCCTAAATATTATTCATTTCTGAAAAACATGAATTCAACATCTACTAGGACAATAGTACCTCATCTGATGGATCTATTCTGCTCCCAGTTTTCCTGGTGACACCTCAAATTAACTTTAGTCAGCAAAGGCTGTGGAAAATTACACGACTGTGAACCCCACAGCCAGGAGAAAGAGACACTGTTCCTAAGGAGTATTTACTAGACCTTTACATAGAAAAATGTACCATGAAATGCTATTGGAAATCTTTCCCTTTGATTACATGTTTTCACTCCTAGATTTTGCTTTCTCTCCCATCAATACAGCCCAATGAAGAATATATTCTAGATACATATACCTCTGAGAACCAGCTGAAAGGAATTCCATGACAGATGCTATCCTGGCAATAAACACAATGTTAGAAACTACATAACTTCAGAAAATAATTTTTAAAAAGCAAGCAAAATTCTTATTTGCATTCAGATGATGTTCTTCAAGGCTGGAGCATAAAAACTCCTGCTGCTTCAGACCACCTTGAAAAGGAAGCAGCATGTCATTTTCTCACAGTGATGCACAAAAGTGGATTGGGGTCCAGAAATACCAAGCTACTCTCAAGCAGTTTGATACAGCCATATGTCTCTTACTTTTTCTCTCACAAGTAGATGAGATAACTGTTTCTTGCCATTAGAATTTGGTCACGTTTCAGAACTGGCCACTTTCCACTCTCCAGGATACCCACCCCAAGCACTTTTGATAGATTCTCAGTGAATCTATCAAATCTATCTTTGATAGATTCTCAGTGAATTTCTGGGCATGCAGTTAGCAGAGCTGAGACACAGCATGAGAACATCTGGTTTCCAGAGCAGCAGCACAGTCTAGAAAGCTTCCCATTCTCAAGAAATACAAACTATTTTCAGTTTCTTAAGTATTACATCGCTTAAAAAGAAAACATATACCAGATACCACAGAATTGCTCAACAGTCTAAAAATCCACAGATTTCATTCCTTTCCATTTGCTGAACACATTTGGCACCAACTGTTCAGCAGAAACACATTTAGTGTTGTGATGAGTTTTAAATTATACTGCTATGTCATGGATTTCCCCAACCCTTTTAAGAAGCAAGGGTAAGATCTGTTGCTCAGGAGACAAAGCTTGCACAGAGCAGATTCTTGCAGCAATAAGCAAATCAGACAATCATGAAGGGGCAATAAGAATTGGAACAGAATGACAAGGAAAATGCTGATGATAGAAATAGACTTTTAATTTTTCAACTGCAGTTTTGATTTTTTAAGAATGGACTTCACAGCTATTTCTTCATACAATATTTATGTAGACCACAGCTACTTAATAGCCTATCACCATCACCATGTTTATTTTTAATATTTGGTGGAGACTAACACAACAAATTGTGTCACTATCCAAAACTTGTAACAGAAATAAAACTGCACAGAGTTGGTTTTGTTTTTTTAGGGTGTAATTTATGGAAGGGATGAGCAGTTTCCTCAAAGAAAACATCTACTTTGTAGTATAAAGACTATGCAAAAACCATTCCAACTCAGAATTACCCTCTTAGTATTATTTAAATAAGTGCTTCTTAACTTCCCTTTGCTGCAGAACTGTTCCAAGTTAGGGGCAACAGATGCACTTGAGAATAAGATACCTTTTTCCTGGATGGCATTTGATAGCGCACATTTTTCCAGAACCTTGTATTTGCTGAACATGATTTCTCTGAGAAGTCCCCTTTCCATGGAATGGCTCCATGTTTTTGCTTAATGTATCTGATTGATTCTGGCATGCTTGAGTAATCCTGTATCTCACCCATTTCTATAAGAATCACTTGAATCCCATCACGGATGAGAGCATTATACATAGCTAGTTGTTGCTCAGAGGAGTCTTCTAACAGGCAGCACCTAGATGTTTCTGATCCCAAAATAATCATCAGTCTTCTGCTTTGCTTAAGGGTTTCATCAGCAACACTGACCACAGCTGTAAGTGATGAAGGAACAGTCAAAGTCTGCATGGAAACTACAACTGGTGTAAAATAGTTCTCTTTTTCAAAATTGCAAACATGTGAAGCTGTGGCTAGCTGAGAGCAGTGGTTGCTTTAAGATCTTCACACTGACAGTCATGATTCATGATCTATTGCATGACATAACTTATAAAAAAACTGTTTTCTTCAGCCCTCTGGAGAAGATACCATTAAAAAAAACCTCAACAGCTATTATTATTTGTTATTAATGCTATTAAGTCCTCATTTGTTCATCACTAAGAAAGTGCAGACCCTCATAACATTAGAATAGAATTTTCAGTAAGGAAAAATAAAAGAAAAAAAAATTGCATTGGGTAACTTATCCATTAAAACTAAATGAATACAGCTTTCTTTTCCAAAAGTGTGGGCTTTAATTTATAGATAAACTTAAAACCTGAGAACAATGTGTCAAAAGGCAACCTGCTACCTCTGCTAATTAAGGCATACCTTCTCCTGGTAAATCATCCCTTCCTAATATGAAAAGGTTATATCCACATTGTTTTTCTAAAACATCTGGGAGTATCCTACGAACAAAGGTTTCCAGACAACAGATACTTCTGCTTTCACTGCCTTTTGTGTACAGGACATATGCATCATAGATTTTCCCATCTGAAACAAACACAAACATTTTCATTAAAAAACTGAAACTTAGAAAAATGCCTTTATTGCAAAGTTTCATTTTTGGATTGTCTAGAAATAATAATGTGGGGCTGATTTTACCCATCTGACAGAACCACCTCATGGAAGTAAAATGCTCTATGAATCAAAATAAAGATGATCAGCCACAGAATCGGACTTCCTTTTCCATCCTGGGGATGGAGGAGTCACCAAATGAGCTGGGTGCAGGACCTGGGACCTGCAGGAAGGAGCTCCCAGCCCCAGAGGGGCCACGACATTGAGGAATTACTCTCTCACAGGACTTTCTTCACCACCTCTCCTGAAAGAAACTCAACAGCAGTTATCTCCACTTCTGACTAACCACAAGAGAAGGTGGAAAAATGGCAATTCTTTCTTGTAATAATCCTGGGAGGGCTTTTCACAGGTAGCAGAAAAGGCCAGAAGGCTTCTGAGGTTTTGAGAGTTAAGGCTCCATTGCAAGCAGGACTGAAAGAACCAAGCCAAAATCAGATCTAGTTCAACAACTTAAAAACTTTGACTTTTTTTTCTTTTTTTCCCTTTTAATCGGAACTCTATTACAGTAATGTAGTAAAACTGAACTTTTGACCAGGAGTTGAAATTACTTTTCCATTAAAACATTTAGGACAGCCATGAGTAAACATTAACTATCTTAATGTATGTAATCCATTCACTTGCAAGGCATGGGGAACTTCAGACAGCCTAATTCTGAGAACTGACATGAAATACATCTATGATGTTGTGATTATTTCGAACTTTTCACAGCTATCCAATATATTTGCCTACAGTGCATTAAACTATAACACATTAGAAGAATCCCAGAACACAGAACTCACAGCAAATTTTCTCTTTGATATGTCAACATCATAACTGACAGGATTGAGAAGGAAAGTGAGGGTAATGGAGAGAAATTGCAAAATGGAAAAAAAAGAAACCAAGTAAAATAAATCTCTGACAAATGAGTCTGATTTTCAAAATAAATATTTAACACGTGTCTTTAAACATCCAGTTTACAGGATGTAGCTCTGCTGACACCTATTGTTCACCATCAGAGTGACCACAAATCTACAAGTAAAAAACCTACAGAAAAGCAAAAACAAAACATGCTCATTTTGGAATAACCTATAGTTCCTTTGGCCTATCTCACTATGATTGCCTTCAGTATTACACAGTTTTTATTACTTCAAGCATAATTATATATTTGTATGACTGAAGAAATCCTCCACAAAATGTCTTGGTGCACATCTGAAAATTCCTTATGGAAGTTCTATGCACATTGTACTAAATAATCCAAATATTTCTCAGAAGTAATGGCAAGTGAAAAAAGTCAATAGGCTAATTACACTCACATACCTGGTCACACTCACATACCTGGTCACACTCACATACCTTCCTTACTTGTAAGGGCACAGACAGAATTACGGTACCAAAGCACCAAGTCAATCTTGAAAATCTTGTAGATTATTAAAGCAATAAATGTCAAAATTAACAAAGAGATGAGCCCTCCAGTCAGCCATCTTCGTATGTCAGGAACTGCACAAAATTATAAGAATTTTTTTTAAACATTGAATTTGTCTAAATCTGATCTTTCACATTAATTCAATTCAAATTTGAATATTCCATTTTTCATTCTTATTTACCTTGTTTTTTAAATAATGATAAATACAATGCTATAGTGATTTCTTCCCTATGCCCAGGCACATGCATACTGCAGGCTGTAATACATCTGTTTTCTTTCAACACGATACACGAGAATTTGGTATCAAAACACCTTCTGGGGGCATATAGATAATCACCTCAAAATTAGGCCTCAAAAATAATAGTACTTCTTACCTCTGTGTTTTAATATAATATAGGATGCAACTTGCCCAAAGGCATTTGAAGCTTGACAGACAAAAGGCTGTTCATAATCTTCACTGCTCACTTCTGAAATTATCAGCTTCACAGAATGTATAGGGCGCCCATCGTAAGAAGTTTCTTCCCTGTCCAAAAGGTGAAAAATAGAACCATAAAACCATAGGCCTTTCAGGAATGGCTTCATCTCTAACATCTGCAGCACAACAGTGGTTATTTCCTTCTGCAAATGTCAACCACACTTCACAACAGATGAACAATTACATAATACAGAAGAAAGCCAGTCAGACCTCTCCCAGTACTGACATTTAGCGTATGCGTTGGAGAAGATCGAGACATCAAGAGGTTATCTTATCTGCAGCTGTGTTTCCCCAAAGAAATGGAAGGTTTCTACAGCTGGAAGTTAAAAAATACGCCTTATGAACCCAAGTGACCTCTTGTTGGGCTTCCCAATGCCTTTGAGAGGATTTGAACATAGATATTTCACAATAGGAGATAACATGCAGGGAATGAATGAACCAACATCACTAATGCCAGTGACCAAAGATGACCATGTAAGCACTAGGTAGCACAAAAAATAACATTGCCTTTGCAATATCAATTCAGTGACTGTGTGCCTCTGCATTCTGGCCAAATTGTTTATGGCACTACAGTTCTATATAAAAGTACAATATATTACTTTTGCATAATGTTTTCCCTTGGTGAGCACCCAAATAAGCCAGCATTTTATTTCTCCCTTTGTTTTATGATGAAAACTTATTTCTTGCAACTATATTCTTACTTTGATGCTTACTTACATCATTCTCTTTTCTTCACTGGTGTTTTGGTCCTAGATAGTGCTCCAGAATTTACAAAAATTATCACATTTGTTTATTCACAGCGCCACCATAAGGGCTGACAAAAAAACCTGAAATTTTTAGTTCAAAACCTGTAATGTCTAAGAAAATGTCAGAGTGCCTCTTGCTCCAATTTGAGATGGTTTTTCCAGTCAGGTATAATTTCTTTTCTTCTAATTCCATTTAACCTGCTTTTCACCATCACCTTATCTCCCACTTGCTCTTCACATGCTTTATTCAGTCCAAGTCCTCCCAAAACCCACCTCATCACTGGAAATCAAGTTTTCCTGTTCTAACTCCTAAGCTTCAGCACAAATGCCCTCAATAAAGTCTTCCATTAGCTCTTCAAATTTCTCTAATGTAATGCTCTTAAACCTAGAAATCTCTTTTTTTCCTGCATAGCACAGATTTGCCCTCTTGCCACCTTTCAGAGATGCAGATGTGGAACATACAATAAAGAGACTGAAGATCATGCACCTGAACATGCCTGATCTGACCAAAAGAGGTCTCTGCCAGGCCAGGGCTTGCTCAAAAGCAACTGTATTACAATTATGGGCCTGCAACAAAACAGCTTTTCCCAACACTGGAAATTCAGATTGATTTTTTACAATGAGCAAGAAATGCACAATCACACGTGAAGCCCATGTGCCTACTATGTTTAAAATTTGTATTTCAAAGCATGAAGCCAGTTGGACAAGGCCAGCATTAGAGTTTTTAAGAAGAATGCTATTTAAAGCAAGGGAAAAATGTTGCTAAATATTTTAATGTCGAAGGGAGAAAGTTCCACTTTGGTTGTCAACACAGTATTTTCTAATCTGGAAATATACTTACTCATAGGGACTTGCAAAAATTCTGCTCATATAAAATACATCAATATACACACCGTTGCCTGTCCAGAACACCTCATACCCATCAGCACCTGTTGTATTGCAATCCACAGTAACCTGTGAGCCTATAAAATTGTGTTACAAAGTAAAAAGTTAATTTCCACAACCTGATTAAAGTCAATACAATCCTGTTCACAGTTTCACAGACGCACTTCAGCTAAGGATGATAGCAAACCCTTTCAGAAAAGTTACTCTAACAGAGGGTCTATACTTTCAGCGATCTGCAGGTCCAGAAAGAGAATGGTAGGATGGAAGAAGCTGAATCCAGAAAAAAGATGCTCCCCTTGGGGCATCACTCTGCCTGCAGATTCGAGATAGACCTGTTCTTAGAATCACTTCCAGAGTGATGGAAAGCAACAGATGTGATAAAGAATCACTTGAGTTCCTACAATTTTCCTTGCATCTGAGAAATCTGTAGGACTTTGTAAGAAACATGCCTCTTTTCCTTCCCCCTCACCCCTCATTCCCCCTTTAGGAGATCAACGGAAACTGATCTGGTCACTGAAGTAGTTTTTTTTAAAAAATGAAACCAAGAAAGCACAGAATAGGACACTACTTAAGAATACATCTTGACTAGCATACACATTCTTATTTTTTCTAGAGAAAACTACTTACCAAGTTCCACTTCAATGGAGTTGTTTCTTGGGTAAGTTATTTCTGGAGGCTTTTTTGGTGCGGTCACTAAGCAAAAGAAAGAAAGAAAGTGATTTTCAGAAAACCAGGGGCAGTTGTTGTCTGTTTCATGCTCTATAATTCAAGTTCAACCTAAAAACACCCCTCATACTAAAGACAAGGTTGTCAGCCATTTTATAACAAAATATCACTCAGTACTGAAAGTACCATATCTCGGGTAGTCATTACTGCACATTTAGGTGGAAAACAGTAGTCCTAAGCATGTCTATCCATTAGGTCTTTTCACTTCAGTCTTTACAAAGTTGAAACAAAAATTTGGAGTTGTTATGACCACAAACACAGTGAAATTATTTACTTACCTTCTACAACCAGACTGATATCTCGTGAAATGTTATATTGTTTCCCATTGTAGGTATATGTTGTTTCACACGTGTAGTTTCCTCGATCATGTACAGTCACATTGAAAATTATAAGGTCACTGTTTGAAAGGGCAAACCTTTTTCCCTCCAGCAGCTTGCAGTCCTAAAAGTGTGCAGAGAACTCTGTTATTTCATATCTCTGTATATTTCCATGGTTTGTCTCTCTTTGATACAATCTGAAGTTTCCATGGACCACAGCACAAGGATGGGCACCCTGCAGATGCTGAGGAAGAGTGAGGACAGTGGAATATGAGGAAATACACACTTCAGTTGAGATTTTAATTTAAAGATACCCCAGTTCATTCCCTTTGGAAAACAACTTTGGCTATTAGAGAAGTAAGAAAGTAAAATGTGCATTGTCGAAGTATTCATCAATGAAGCATCACACAATAATTAGACTTTATTTGTAAGGAGCCTCAATACTAGTGGTAGCACACAGACTGCACCAGCCTGAGGCAGGAATCTGGCAGAAGGCACTACATTGTTGTAGCAGAAAGAGCCTTTAAGAGAGTGTGAACAACATGAAATAGAATAATGGAGTAGAACAGTACTGATCACCAAATGGATGTGCCACTGTAAATCTGTTCCCACACAAGGCTGTCTTTCCCTGGCAAGTGAACAGATGCCGTGGGTCAGAGTCACTCCTACATCTCAGCTGAAATTCTGCCCTGATAATCAAGAGCACCTTTAAAAGACTGAAAGTCTTGATCCTCTTCCAATTTGTTTTAAAAGCATTTTTCTCCAATTTACAGTAAATCTTTAGTTCTTCTGCTCCAATTCTCAGAGACCACTGATTCTTATTATAAATAATGGACAACTGTAAGACAGAACAAAAAACTATGTTCTCACCTTATACCAACGAACAGGCTGAATATTCTTCTCATTCCTGAAATAATCCAAGTGGGGACACACGACCTTTGCAGAATATGATGTGAATATCACCTCCTCTACAGCAAATTTTTCATTTAAGCATAAACCATCAATCCTTTCAAAAACTGTTACTTTTGTGCACATTTTCTTGCAGCTTGTCAAATTCCTGCAATTAACAGAACACAAATAAATTACTTTGCAGGTCAAAAATGTATGGCATTATCTTCGGAGAAGAAAGAGAAGAAAAAATGTTTACAGTTTCTTTAATAGATTTACTTTTGCCTACAAGAAAAAAAAAAACCAAAATAGACTTCATTTCCCCAAACTAAAGTTAGCTTTTGTAGATGCATTTCCTCTTCTTCATTAGCATTTCCCTTACCCTCAAAATTTGACTTGCTTTCTAAAAGTTACTCTCTTTGCAACTCATTTATGTAAAAATATAGGTTTGGGGTTTTTTTTTAACTTTCACCTTATGACACATTCATAATCTCCAGAATCTTCTAACATTGCAGGAAGAAACCAAATTAAATTTTTCTGCTGATGAACTCTAGACAGTTTGTCTCTAGGCACAGGTGTCTGGTTTCCAACTTTGTACCATGTTAAGTTGTAGTCTCCACTTTTCAAGCTCTTTTCCAGTGAACATTTAATAGCAAGAGGCTGCCCATCAGGCACAAGGCTTTGCCTCAACATCACATCATAGGCTTCACATTTCTCTAAAGGAAAGAGATAAACATTAAAGAAAAACTCAAACACTATTCAAGAATATACTGAACTCATTTTATGATTATATTTACAAAGTTGATTGGAGTTTTCACCTCTGTTCTCAAGTCAACTACTAAAAATACCATTTTAATCCCTTATCTTTACAGCTGAGAGTACTACTCAGTAAATTACAGATACAGTTATGCCACTAAAACGAAATGCTGTTTTTTGAATGCAATCTTTATGCTCAGTAGAATGTCTTTGTTTGCAACGACTTGTCATTTGCATGTTTTATTTCAGATGTAAATTACCAAAGTACTCGTGTTTCTCCAGTCTGTTTCATGGGCATGCACAAAAACACACACATGCCCACAAACTTCACATTTATTGTCTTTATTTTTTAGCTTCTCTTAACTGTAATCAAAGTAATCCTTCAGGACAGACTATGCTGTTGATACCTAAATGTCCTGAAGTGGAAGATTGTACAAATACTAAGTTTGCTACGGGAATTTCAATTCACCTTCATTTTATGAACATTTAGAGAGGAATCATGACAATCAACAATGAGATCATTTTCTTTACTTCTGACACAAATGTTTGGTTTGGGCTTTTTTTTCTTTTCTTTTCTAATATGACAAAAAAAGGCACCATCTTTGGATACCATGGTCACATTCCCAAGTCAGTAGTATATTTATCAAAACTTCTTTGTATTGTTATTATGTAAGAATTCCCACAGAAAGTCATGCAAGTGTCTGTTTAGCCCAAAATCCTGTCTCTGATAGCTATCTGTGCGAAATGTGCAGAAGAGAGGAGGACACAACAAATACAGTACAGACTGATATTTCAGTCCCTTTCTTTCCTCTTATATTCTGCATGAAAAAAAACATTCATTGGCTTTTATAAATTCTCTGAGTATCACAGATTTCTTGTTACAAGAAATGGTAAACTTCCTCTCATCTGCCTGCTCTATGGTATTTACATTTTTATAGACCTTTATCCCATCTTGATTCTGTCTCTTTACATCAGAGTCCTCTTTCATTTAGAGACTTCTCATACAGAAGCCATCCCATATCAGACAACACTGTCACTCATCTCTCCGCTTCTTCTGATATCACCTTTCTGAGATGGAATGACCAGAACTGCACAGTTCCACTGGCACACATTCACTGTGGGCTTGAAGAGTACCATAATGAGGCTTTCTCGTTTCTGCTTTCCAACAATTCTAGTTTTCTGCCCACCGCTGATAACAGAGTTAATGACTCCAGAGATCATCCAGAGATATCAAAACAGCATTTAACCAAGCATTTAACCAAGTACTTAATGCTGACATCACAGTCATATAGCACACTTGCTTCTGCTATACCTCATACCCCTTCACATCCACTTGATTTTACTGACATTCTATCACTAAACTATTTGACATCCCGACACCCTCTGATGAGCAAGCATCAGTTTTAACCACAGAAGAATAATTTTGTGTCATCCGCAGTTCCCATCATCTCACCACAGATCTTTTCCAAATTACTTATCCAAACATTGAATTACTCAGGTATCTATCTGTGTTGACTGCCCCATAATGACTGTGATGATTATGAAATTCTGTGGCCACAGGAACCAATAACCTTTTTCTACCAGTTAATGCTAATACTCTGAGACAGTGTAAGAGACACCAGTACATGCAAAAGACCACTCAGCTGGAAAGCAGAGCTGCAGGGAACATTGGGGTCCTGGTAGGCCACAAACTGATCATGAGCCACCAATGCTCCCTCTTGGCAGAAGGAGGTTAGCAGTGTCCTGGAATGCATTAGGTCATGCCAGATTTGAATTTACTGGAGAGAGCCCAGCAAATAGCCACAAACATGATTCAGGGAGCAGAGCACCTCTCACATGAGTAGAGAATGAAAGAGCAGGAACTGCTCAGCTTAGAGAAGAAAAGGTCTGAGGAGTGTGTGGGTGGATCTTATTAATGTGTGTAAATATCTGATGGGTGGGAATGAAGAACAAAGAGACAGACTTCTGCCAGCATTATGCACTGATAGGACAAGAGGCAATGAGCACAAACTGAAACATAAGACATTCTATCTGAACACAAAAGAATACTTTTTTTATTGTAAGGGAGATCAAACAGTGGAAAAAGATGCCCAAAGAAGTTGAAGAATTTCCATTTGCAGAGATTTTAAAAAACTTGACCCTGTAAGGTTAGATGTCAAGCGCTCCTATTCAACCTAAATGATTCTGTTATAAGTTGAAAGATAAAATACCACATATTACGTTTTATAGATTCCTGCTCTTGGCACTACTTAAAGGAACTCATTGGCATGCATCTAAATTTTACTATTACAGCCATTTTCACAGAAAGTCAGTATTACTTGTGTGAAAAAAAGTTCCATAACAAGTTCAGAACAAAACTTTCCATAGCCACTGATAGACTTACTTGCAATAATTAAAGACAGAAATGCTGTTGCAATGTTATATGAAAACAGTGCTTTTGCTGTCACATTTCCCTGCCAAAATGGAAAGAAAACTTTCAATTAGTGGCTTCCAATATGAACTTCCATAATGTAAACATTTGCATTACACAATTAATGCATTATACAATTAATACAGTAATTACACAATTTAAAGAGGACAAGTGAAATACAGGAATTGTCTTTGACTTGTTTCGAGCCTGTTACCTGCCTGTTTTACCTGACAGCTCCTAATTATTACACCAGAAGAAAAAAAAAAATTAAAAAATGAGTGAACATCTCCTATTTCAGCTTGTCAAGCACTTGGTTTTCTTACATCTCTAGCACAGACCTTCCCACTTCTTGCTTTCCTAAGCTACAATCCTAGATTCTCTAACTCTCCCTTAGATGGAATCTGATTTCATAATTCTGACTTTTTTTTGCCACCCACTTTGCACTGCATCCAGTTATGCTACAAATTGTCTGAGATGGGGAGGACAGGACAGAACTTGCATACAGTCTTCAAAATATAAGTGTACTATGGATTTATAAACAAAGACAATTATTTGGTTTTTTTCTGGAATTTTTTCCTAATGATTTTTAGCCATATATTTGTTGAGTATCACTGAGTATTGATCTGATATTTCCATGGGCTTATGTAGTAAAATTTCAAGATCTCATCATTGGGTGCTAAGAATCAGGCAAACTCAGTCAGATGCTGAGCACATGATGTTAGGATTTTGGCCATATGTTTACCTTTTAAGTTTTCTTTATATTTCTCTACAACAATTTTATTCTGCTGTTATTACCCAGTCATTTACTATTGAGACATCTTTGTGCCACTCTTTGCAACTTACACCTCCATGTTCTAGCCTGAATAGCTTTGTATTGCTGGCAAATTCTGCCACTGAAACAGATTCCCTCTGATCATCAAAACACATGCTGAGGAGAAAAGTTGTTCAGGACTCTAGTAGTGGTATTTCTTCACCTAAAATCTAGACATTTATCTTTTACATGTTTATTTATATATTTGAGAATGACTGTCAGGACTCTTCAGTAGTCCCCTGACCCCTAACATGCTTGGAGAAGGATCTCAGTTGCATGCCTCTGGCAAGTTGCTCCTTAGCTTGACCTGCTTTACTGGCTTTTTTACTGTTCAGCCTACCAGAGTGTTTCACAGCTCAGTGAGAGGACAAATGCAACCATTCCAGCTGAAGTATGAGCAGGAGAAGCCCATCCTGATCACTGGTGGTCACTGAGCTGATCACCATTTACTCCAAGAGTCCAAGATGACACTTCTGGCTGCTGTGCCTTTCTTCACCAGACTGACTCAGAAGCGTGCCATGTATTGAGTCATCCACAATGCTTCTTGCAGTGCCTGCTTCTCTTCTTCCCTTCTCTTTCCTCCTCCCTCCTTACGAATTTCCACTCAAATTACCAGGCAGGTCTTTTCTTGTCTAGCTCTAAGATGGGATGAGTCCCTGAAAGAATCCTGGCTCTAGAAATACATAAAACATTAAAATCTCGGGAGGTAAGTTATATGTGTTTGTACAAAAGCTACAAATTTTTTTTCCATTATTTGTGATGTGCAGTAACTCTTAAAAATCTATAATTTTTTTATTTTAAAACAAAGAGGAAAATATTGTAACAGATACAATTTAAAGATAAAACAGGATTGAATAGACTCCACTTATGAGAAAGTATTTTCTTTATGACTTCTTTGCATCACTGGTTTTTCACAAACCATTCTCTTACAACGTTACCTTGCTCCAGTGTTCTGTCTCACAAGCTCTCTCAGGAAGTTTTTTGCCCCACCAGTATATTCACCCAATGCAGAAGTAGTATTTTACTACATCCTGAAAGAAAGTCTTCCTAGTCTTCCAGGATCCTTTTCTATAATTTCTATGCTTTTCTATAATTTCAATGATCTTTCTATCTGTTTAAATTTATTATTTTCCCTTCTGTCAAAATAGAAGACTTACAAACATATATACATATATATATAGCCTTGTGTAAAACCATATGCACTACTTTGAGGAGACTCCCTTGTGTCTCACTTTCTGTGATGAAAAATTTCAGTTTCTACGGAAGGTAGATATAATAGCAAAATTAGGCTCTTTTCTGTGCATGCATTCATATAAATAAGGATGAAAATAACACACATATAACTGCAGAACTAATTGCAAATGTTTTTCCTACCACATTCTGCCATGACAAACAGCTAAATGTCTCCCTTTTCCCAGCCATTCTGTCCACATCTTGAACACTCAATCGACCTGTGGAGCTTTATCATTCACAACAGACTTCAGCTCTAGTTATCTTTGCCCATATTTTCTAAAGGGGAAAAAAAAAAAAAATCAGGTATGTGCAGCCATGTCCATAGTTTCACCCTGAAAGGAAATATTTTTATCAGCTACAGTTTAAAAAAAAAATTACAGCCAACCCCCCCCCCAAAAAACCCCATCAACTGTCTGAAATAGGTCTTTAATTATACACGTCTGAATTACAATTACAGTATTGATGATAGCATGTAGGCATAATTTTCATGAAAATTTCTCATTAATTTCTTTTAATATTCTTAATATCTGCTTTTTAGTCCTTTCAAAGTTTATCTACTCAACAAAAGAAGTCTCCTCAAAACTTCAAAGGATCACAGGTTCCACTGACTTTGGCAAGCTAGTGGCAGGCTTATTTGCATCACTTATTCAAAAGCCCAAACTGATCCAAACATGCAACAGTCCTCAGAGCTGAGAGAACCAACAGAAAGTCCAAGTATCACGCTATTTCTGGTATATAAGCCTAGGAACATTATAAATCATAAAAAAATGCATATATAGATATATATTTTCATATTACCTTAAATGCTCCTATTAACTGCAAGGTACACCACGCCTCTCCTATCAAGTGTGTTACTTTCGATCACGAAAGAAACGATGACAGCACATGCATTCCTTCACTGGACATAGCTAGTCAGAGTGGGAGAGCTGAGTTAGCCGCGTCAGGATGTGCTGACAGCACTGCGATTATCCCGACAGCCGTGTTTCTGCGACAGGCTGGCATCCCTCCGCGGGTACGGCAGGAAATGCTTCTCCAAACTCTTCATTTAAATTGCCACGTGTTCCCGGCAGCATTCCCTGGGAAGGGGCTGCGGCTGCCGGGGGCTGCGGGGCGCCGCGCCAGGCTCGGCGACCTCGGTCGGAGTCACCTCCCAGCCCCAAAAGCGAGGCGTCGGAGCAAAGCGCGACCATCGGCGCAGCAGCTCCAGGGATCTCCTGCTCGGCTTATCCCGGGCTGGCTGAGGCCGCCCGCCCTGCTCCAGGAGCCAGGGGAGCGGCGCTGCCCGCACCTGCCCGGCCCCCGCCGCCCGAACACCCCCGGCTCTCGGGGGCCGGGCAGGACCCTGG